TAATATATGTGTATATGTACAAATGTAAATATAGAAAGTATCTGGTCCGCAGGGGACACTAAATGTTAGTGCGTTCTCCTCTTCTGTGAAGGATCTTTCTAAAGTATTCTTGTTGCTGTTTATCATCTACTCTGTCTCTGTTATCTGTATATCTAATCTATCAATCTTTATTATCTGTATTTATTATCTATCTATCTATCTATCTACCATCATCATCTATCTATCTATCTTCTGTCATCTGTCTTTCCACATCAGAAGGATTTGGCTGTTGGGAAAGAAGAAGAGAAGAGGTAGTCATTGAGCAGGCAGCACTTGCTCTAAGGTTTTTAAAATTTTTTTTGGTGTACTGAGGTTTGAACTCAGGGCCTCATGCTTGCTAGGCAGGCAGTCTACTTCTTGAATCAGGCCCTGTCTCTGCTTTAAGTCTTGGTCTGTAGGCATCATGGACCTGTCTGAGCAACACTGGAAGAGAACGCCTTTGCTCTGTAGTGGTTTGGGCTGCACACTTCACAAACAAGTGACAGACTTCTTTACCTCTGTGCATGAAAGCACATGGTCATTTACAGCTCAGAGACTGTAAGCAGAGCAGCAACGGGGGACTAAAGTCCCCCATCTACAGTACAGTCCAATATTTTAAAACTGTGAACTTTTAACCCTTCTGAGTATTTATAACACAATCTATGTAAACTTCTGAACTATTTTGCTCATTGGGGATGGGTAATTTTTTGTGATCATGGCAGCATTACCATGGCTATGAAACACAGTTGTTCTGCAAATAGCCTCCAGTTTCAACTGTTAATAATCTGAACACATGTGCAGGATAGATATAGAATGACTTTATTACTTCCTATAGGAAATGTCTTTTTAACAAGTGAAAATGGAAGTTTTTTAGTACATTCTCACTGTGTTTCTATACGTCACTTCCTTCAGGCTTCATAGCTTCAGTGAGAATCACCACGGTTCCCCTCAACCTGTTGTCCTCACCATCTCCCCGTCCCCACCGGCTTGAGAAGTCAAAGCGAGCTCACACAGCTCAGTGGCCTCCACCAACAGAGGTAATGACAGCGATAGCAGGAGGTGGGGAGGCTTTTCTGCTTAGTCAGTTTGGTGAGTATGTAAGTTATTTCTGCTTATACATTTAAATGATTAATTTAATAGTTTTTAGTTTTTTTTTTTTTTCAGTTCTGGGGATTAAACCCCAGGTCTCACATATGCCAAGCAGATGTCCTACTACTGAACTATATATACCCCAAGCCCTAGATTTATTCTTAATTTATAGAATCCAGGTTCTTATCTGAAATGGTTATTCACACATCTCTAAGTGTCTTGCATAGGCTTCTATGGAACAGAGGCGTAACTGTAGAATTTTCTCAAAGTGAGTAACAGGACATATAGGAAGGGTAGCAAGTGTGAGATGGTGAAAGAATTGCTCATTGCTTTAGACAAATGATTACAAGAGCATTTTCTCATTGGATTATGGACGTATCAAATGTCAACAGTCATTGTCCCATGAGAGGCACAGCCAGCTCATTCAGGGATGGTCATGGTGACAATGCCAGCTTAGTAGTCAATAGACAGGTCGTTGGGTCTTTCTCAGAGCTCACCTTTCTTGTTGGTCTGGTATATCTGTTGCTTCACACGTAAGGCAACTACACCTGGGCTACACTTACAAAATTAGACACTGCTTGGAGAGCCTGTAGAGTTTGTCCACTGAACTTGTGTTTGTAGCCAAGCTCAATCTAAGCTCTTGGATGTGCCACCCCACCTTCCCCCAGCTCAACTTCCTCTTCCCTCAGTTGGTTTGGTAGTGAATGGGTATTTGGGAGAATATGGATTTCCTTTTGGATAATCAAGATATTGAATTAATCTGGTAGGGGCCCCTTATGTGCCTACCATGGAAGGGAAAGGGTAGAGGAGACTTAAAAATTATAACATCTTGAATGGGGAAAATCTCTAAGGTCCTAGTTCCAATTTAAAATAGTGTTAACAGTTCTCCACAGAAATCTCTCAGAATTGGAAAAGTATCTGAAAGTTAACAGAAGGTGCTGGTAGCAAGAGGTGCTTAGTAGTAGGAGGTGCCTGAGAGTGGACGTACTCTTAACAGTGAGTTGGTTCTGGCGGGAAGCCACACTAATCAGGGCTGCAGCCTGGGTTTTCTGGATGGAAGCAGCCTTTTGCCTGGTTTTGCTGCTGACTTGAGAGTGGTACTGGGAAGAACATGAGCCCTGGAGCCAAATGGCCTAGGTCTGGTTACTGGCGGCCACTTGCCCTGGACAGTGTTGGGTTTCTCAAGTCTTCCTTGTTCCTTATCTGCAAGTAGGCGATCACAGCACTTGTCTCGTGTGGCTGTGGTGGGGACTCAGGAAATTAATGTGCAGAACACATTTTCTATGTCAAGGACACCTAATAAGCAATCAATAGGTGTAAACCATTATTGTTATTATCATCGATCGTGTTTGTACTGAATTCATACAATCCAGGAGAACTGCAGACTCCTTTCCTTGGATTCAAATGGACAGCTTGATCATGGGTACAACTGCACTAACCCAGCATCAAACCGACTTTTTCGCAGTGTTTTGTCTGTCACATCTTAAGATCAAGACTCAATGTATTTATTTTACTAAAATTCGATCTGATCCACTCCAAAAATTTGGTGGTAGGTGATGACCTCATTTATCACTGTTTAAAATGACATTTTGAAAATCTGGGATGTGCTGTCAGTATTTCTAAGACTCAAAGTCTTATTTGAGACCTATCATGAAAATTACCTGGATTTATTTTCTACAGTGTTCATGTTTGCTGGTGTTGGCCAAGGGGCACAGGTGGTACATCTGTCTGAAATGAGGCTCATTTAGAGAGACATCAGTATTAAAGGCAACTTTTATCCAAATTAGTGAACATTTGCATCTTCTTACTAAAGCAAATTATCCCAAATAATTTATCATAAGTAAAACAGGGAGAAAATGTAATTTTTTGGTTCCTCTTATAATCATTTTATTATTTCTTTGTTGGTGTAATAATCTTTACTTTGGACAATTTTTTTGTTACATCTTTAAACTGACTGAGAAACTGTAATTTTTTTATCAACTAAGGAGGATGATGCTTTAGTAACAAGAGGTGGGAGCTGTGACAGTGGCTCAATGGAAATAAAATTCTCAGAGTCATGCTTAGCAATTGGGAAAAATAGTTTCAGGTTCTTACTTGACTTTGGCAGTACTGGAGTTTGAACTCAGGGCCTCACACTTGCTAGGCAGGTGCTCTACCACTTGAGCCACTCCACCAGCCCTTTTTGGTGATGGTTTTTTTTTTTTTTTTGAGATAGGGTCTCATGAACCATTTGCCTGGGCTGGCTTTGAACGGAGAGCCTCCTAATCTTTGCCTCCTGAGTAGCTGGGATTTCAGGCGTGAGCCATCGGTGCCTGGCTTGACTTGGTTTTAAGAGAACTTGGACTAAGACAAAATGTCAGTTGATACTATCATGCATCCGAGCATGTTAAAACAGCCTGTAATTCAGGGGTGGGAAAGGAGTAGGCACAAGGGAAAGCTGAGGCACATCCAACCTATTAATGAAGTCTGAACTTTACCCCTCCTTTTCTGTCTTTTTTTTTTTCCACTATTGGGGATTGAGCTCAGGGCCTGGTGCTTGCTTGGCAAGTGCTCTGCTCCTTTCTTGAGCCATGCCCCTAGTCCTTTTATCCTTTTGCATTTAGTTTGTTTTTCAGATAGGGTCTTACACTCACTTTGCCTAGGCTGGCCTCCAACTGTGAGCCCCCTGCCTCTGCCTCCCACTTGACTGGAACCACAGGCATGCCTAGCTTGTTCTGAGTTCCAAGTCAAATTGCAATCAGAGTTTTGCAGTTTTGTGACTTGGAAAGTACAGGAGAGTCTATTGACTCAGTGAGGGGACCACTCAGCACCTGTGGTCCCTGGAGATAGTTCAGATTTGTGTTGAGGGCAAGCTCTCCCTCTACCATGTTACTTAGCATGGGGTCAGGGTGCCTCCACCTGGCATCTAAGGATGCTTCTTGGTCTGTTCAAGGGTGACCCCCCCCACCTTCCTGGAGAAGGAGGGTGGTGAGGTGCACCAGGGTGCACTAAGAGAACTTATTGTCAGGTGTGGATGTGCAGGCTTGGCTCCCCCTCCCCTGCATTGCGATCACACCCTCACAGAGAACCACTGTGTCATGTTCAAAGTGTGGCATCTCCTGATTAAGCACCAGGACTTGAGACTGTGCACATAGGGTTATAACTGTGCTTAGTGTAGTCATCAAACTGAGGATGGTCCCTCTGGTCTGTGCTATGCCACCAACGTCACAGCCGATGTGCCAGGGTAAGTCACATCCCTAAGTTGGACAAGGTGAGCCCATTGCGCATGCTGTGAGCTACTGCTGGCTTCTGCCTTAACTGACCCATTCAACCTAACAGAGATGTGCAGGGTGCCCCTGAACAGTCAAAGATGTGCACTTACACTCTAGCAAGACCCAGCACCAGTGACATTAGACACACATAGAAATCAGAGAAAAACTACTGCCCAGCAGTTTTAACCACCAAATACCCATTTTATTTTAATGAAAAAAAACTCTGCATTCTATATGCTCCAAAAGATTTACTATTGAAACTAATACAATATATGGAACTCTTATCTGCATAATTTCACTACAACAAAGACAACAGATGACTCCTACTTCCTACAGAAGGCTAACTGAAAAGCACAGGGCAAACAGAGATTGCATAAGAAAGCGTGTGTGCGCGTGTGTGTGCGTGTGGTTAAAACCTTTAGTAAGGAACTGCATTAAAATATGCTGAGACGCTTACCTGACCCTAGTTTGTGGCAAGCTCTAATAAAAAGCCACAGGCTGTCACTAGTTTTATCTGATAGAAAAATTTGGTGTGAGCTTTGATGGTTCATTTACGGTTTGTCAACAAGAAGATGATCTTAGTACGAGCACAGTTTCTCCTCTTACCTTTACATGCTCACAGAACAAAAATCAGCTACTTTCCATACATAATGAACAACTTTTATTTCCAGGTTCGCAAACAGCGGTAGAGTCACACAGAAGGGTACTTGGAAAACTACCTGTATTTACTCTATTTTCTGCCTGTATATATGAAAGAAACGGTGTGTGTGTGCATAAGCGTATATCTCTACATGTAGGTTTTTTTTATGTGTATACAAGATGGTACCTTCTTATGTACGCATGATCTCCAGAGTGACATTTGCAATCGTACACGTACCAGGAGGGAGAGATTCTCCAACTGTGATCCATGTCACCATAGGAAGTATGGGACTATGGATTCGGGGCACATATAAAAGGTGGATGCCCATGAAGGAAGAATTCAGCCCTTTTCTCGGCACTTGATGGCAAGATTTCCTGCCGGCTCACCCCCTTGGCTCAGGATCACGGAATTTGGTGGCAGTGGGAATTGGTGGCAGTCCTCATACTAATGAGAAAGGACTTCTTTCTCTGCTCTCCCTGTCTGTGGACCTGCCTGGCTGGTTGTTCAGTGTGTAGCATTCAAGATTGAATGGGCCGATGTGGACAGAGCTTTGCAGCAAAGCCACTGCTCTGTGACCTGTCCTTGTGCTGGGGGCTCTGCTGTCTTAGCTTCTGCCCCCTCTGTCTAACTTTTCAAGGAGGAATGGCATATCAAAACTAGGCTTCTCCTGAATAATCTCTCTATATAAATACCGTGTATATACACACACAGATACTCATACATATACAAACACTAACCCACAGACACAGCTGCACGAGTGGCGCACTGGCTAGCAACATGTCAACACATCAGAAAAAGTAGTCATTGTTTCTGCTCCCAGAAGGTCAGGTTCTATGCATGATCTTTAAACATTCAGGGAAAATTCAGAGTTCTCCATGAATTAGAGGAAGGAAGGTGCTATCAAAATGGTGAAATACAGACTAAATGAAATTGCAAAGAAAACAAAAATGGGGGAACAATTGAGGCCTACTTGTGAAGTTCAATAGCTGTAAACAGCAATCTTCAGATTTGGATAGACTTTTTTTTTTTCTTTTTCCTGTTGCTATGGAAACTTGGGAGTCAAGCTTCAGATGTCAGGAGTTCTCACAGACCTGAATGGAGAAGGCTCAGAGTTAGGTCGGGGAAAATCACAATTCAATTCACAACATTTCAGCTAAACACCAGAGAAATGACTGACAAGCTAGAACACACATCGTGCTCCCTTGGGGACTTTTTCTTCCCCTTTTAGCATGGCATTTGAAGACAGAATAATTCTGCTGGTTTAGGTATTAAGAAGCTGGACTTGTGGCTGGGGGTGGAGCTCAGTGTAAAGCAAGGCTTCCGTGCACATGAGGCCATGGGTTTGATCTTCAGCACCAAGAAAAAATGCTGGACTCCTCTGAAAATGCTAATGTCATACATCTCTTTTGAGATAACCCCAGCTATTCGAGTTCCTCCAAATGGGATTTATTTTATGCATAGTAGCACAGATGAGCTAAAAGGTGAACAAGATCGCTTGGTAGCTTGGAGACCAATGACTGTCACTTATGCATACACATGTACTTTCACTTCTTTTTCTGGTCACAGAGCAAGAGACTTGGTGGTGGTGTGCTAGTTTCATACTGCTTTGTTTAAGCCACGAACACAGTGGCTTAAAACCACATAAATAAATTCTTTTATAATTCTGGAGGTCGTAATTCTGAAATGAGTCTTACAGGGTTAAAATCGAAGCGTTGGCAGGACTGTGTTCCTTCTGGAGGCTCTATGAGAGACTCCATCTCTGTCTTTCCCAACTTCTAGAGGCCACCTGTGTGCCTTGGCTCATGGCTTCTTCTTCCATCTTCAAAGCTTGTACTGTAGCATCTTCTGTCTCCAACTCTACCCCCCCTTTGTTTCCATCATCACGTGATTCTTAAAACTGCTCCTCCGTGTGCCTCTTATAAGTACCTGTGATTAGATCAGGCTCACTGGCTAACCCAGGACATCCTCCCCATCGCAAGGACTGTTACTTAGTCACATGAGCAAGGTCTCTTTTACCAGGTAGGGTGACGTGTTCTGAGATTCCAGGGATTGGGACGAGGATGTGTTTGGGAGCCATTACTCAGTCAACCTCATGTGTGTGGCACTGTATTTCCAGAGGAAATAAGGCACCATGCAGCAGAGTGGTGAACTATGAGACCATGTCACTCAAGTGGAAAAGGTCACAGAAAGCAATGCCACCTCTGGTGTGTTTAGTGGTCCAATGTTCTGGTTCCTGTGCACAGCCTCTCCTTCAGGTCACCACAAGGACAGGTCCAAGGATGGAGCCTGTTGCCCTGCTCAGCCCAGCTCTATCAGCGGGGAGGAGCTCCATCTCTAGGATGCCTGGATCCAGCATTTTCTGCTGCTTCTCTCCTTACAAGCACTACAGGCAAAGAGGCATGCTGATTGCAGCCCAGGACCCCTTGCCAAGCCCTCTTCCCTCTCAGGCTTCAGACAGAGAGTCTAGAGCCTTCTAGAGGAGAGGTGTGCACTTGCTCATCTGGCCTTGGTCAGCACTCCTAGGCAGTTGGGCTCCCCACTGCCTCCATCCTGCAGCACCCACTGAGTCAGGCCCCCTTCTTTGGGCTCTTCCAAGGTGGTACTTTCACTTTTGCAATGATTGGCTCTCACTGGAGTCCAGGTTTAAGATAGTTATAACTGGGGTGGTTTTGAGGAAGTGTGTGAAGCCCATTCTTTTAGGTTGGAGAAATAGGTTTTTTTTCCCAAAAACCATTTGTCTTGCCAGGCTGGTGCAATGTCTCCTATATCTGACATTTGCTGGAGATCAGCCTGAGGCTTGTCAGCCCCCACACTGGTGACTTGGGGGGCTGGGGCCTGTCCTGTGCACTAGAGGACATTTGGCATCATTCCTGACCTCTGTCCACTAGGTGCCACTGGTAGCATCCTCTCAGTCATGATAATGAAAAATATTTCTAGGCATTTCCAATTGTTCCTTAGGGGGCAAGTTGGTTAAAATAATAATAATAAAAACATTGGGGCTGAATAAAATCTATTAAATTAGACTCCAGCCTTTTGTTTTCAACTTGGAGTTTCCAATCCCTGTTTTAAGTCAATTTAGACTGTACTGTAGATTATCCCACCTCCTAGGGCTGCTGAGACGATTACGCGAGGTGATCGATGTGATTTATGTAAAGCTCCTAGCTGGCTTGTGCACAGCACACAGGAGTTCCTCATGCATCAGCGATCATTGTCCATAAAGTCACATGTGTTTGGGAGACCATGGCTCCTCCACAAAGCCTGACTCAGGGCCATCCCCATGCATAGGAAAGCCCCTTCTACTCAGGTTCGGTGTGTCTTTGGGCTCTGCCTCTGCCCACAATACATTCCACAACAAAAAGGAACAAAATGTTGATACCCTCAAGGAAATTTTAGAAAAGGCAAAACTATCATTAGAGAAACCAGATCAGTGAGCGCCTGGACTGAGGGGGAAAGGGGGTCATAACAAAGGGAACAATTTTGATGGTGGCATGGCTACACAATTGTGAACATCCACCCCAACTGCACATTTAAACTGGATGGATTTTATTGCATGCAATTAATACCTTAATACAGAATTAAATTAAGAATGTAGTAGCCATCTTTGGCTCATCTTGGTTGCTTCTTTAAACTTCATTGTGATGAAGTTGTTTCTTCACTGACCTCCCCTAGTCCCCCAATATAGAGACTTTTAATTTTGGTACTTGTTAAATGGTTCACTTGATCTTCATTTTATGTTATTGCTATTTCTGATTTAGTAAGTCTAAAACGATGTTCAAAAAAGTTTCTGGACAAGTCTCTTCCTTGAGACTTGTCTGTGTCAAACCACACAGAGCCATGCCAGAGTGATGCCACGGTCGGTTTGCTTCACTGGGGAGCCACAAAGAATTATGCATCCCCTCAATGTCACCAGCATGTAATTTACACAGCAAAATTGATAGTAACAGTAATTTCATTTACATTTTTTATTACCCTCAATGCCATCATTTTTATTTCCTTTATTTTTATGTGTCTAGGAGGATGTACAGATCCTTTCAGTCAGCTCTCAGTTGCAGTAAAGCCATCTACAGTGTCATAATAGATGGAAATGTCTAATCCTCCACCTCCATAAAGGAGGCCATCTGACAGCAAATGCTGGCTTCACTGCCCACTTTCCTGGGGACCTTTCTGTGCAACAGTTTTCTCATCTATAAAGTGGAGTAGAATCACCTGGCCAATGAAGAAAACATAAAAGAAAGCCAGGACTATTAGGCATTTGGTTAATGTGAGTCCGTTTGGATCTGTTACTTGGGGCGGTGTGGGGGGGTAGGAGAAAACCCCACTTTTCTTCTGGTGTGATATGCTCTTAACACTGCTGACGTTTTATGGATGATGCTTTAATTTTCCTTTGTTTTCTTTTGTGATACTGGGGTTTGAACTCAGGGCCTCATGCTTGCTAGGTGGGTGCTCTACCACTGGAGCCACACAGCCAGCTCCTGGATGATGCTTTGAAGCAACGCTTGTGCTGGTGGGGTGGCTCAAGCAGTAAGCGTGCCTGCCCAGCAAGCGTGAAGCCCTGGGTTCAGACCCCAGTACTGTCAAAAAAAGAAAAAAAGGAAATATTTGGCCTGGCAGAGAGGCTCAAGTGGTAGAGCTCTTGTCTAGCAAGTGTGATGCCCTGAGATCAAACCCCAGTACCAACCAAAAAAAAGCCTTAGCTGAGGCAACGCTGACAAGCTTTTCCCCTAAGAGACCATACAGTCTCTGTTGCAAGTACTCACCTCTGCCATTGAACAAGCAATCACAGATAATATGTGATCACAGACAATAAATGGGCATGGCTGTGCGCCAATAAAACTTTATTTACAAAATTGGGCAGTGGGCCAGATTTGCCCTGCGTGCTGTAGTTTGCATTCCCTGCCTTAAAGAAACATCAGACAGATTCTACCAGCTTACTTCCTGTTCCCCAGCATTTTTCAATCAAGAGCTGAGTTAGGAATCTAGTTTCAGTGCTTTTAGAAAATCCCCCAGGCCCCAAATCTTGCCGAACTTAGTGTCAGTTAACTCTCCCTGAAACTCTTTCTAGCTGGTTTCTTTTGTGAAGCTTAGCTTCCTATCTTATATATGTTTTCATTCTGTGGCTTTTTACTTTCTAAGGCTAATGCCATGGAAATTGCTGGGTTTTGTCATCTCACTGAACCCTCAACCTGGATTCGAGTGTTGCTAACATCACCTGTGTTAAATATCTTTACAGCCATATTCTTAAATTCACCTTCCTCCTCCTTTTTCCTATTGAAGGGTAAATTGAGGGAACCAGTGCACAGTCAGGATATGGACGGGAACTGGGGCTGTTTTCAGAATGTCCAGGAGCCTCTATTATAAGTAAGTGGAGCATTCACTGTGGTGGTCTCGCTGTTCCTACTGACAGGCCTTTAAAAGTGGCCCAATATCTGAGCCACACCTCCAGGGTAGTGCCAAGGTATGGGTATGGGTAGATATTTACTTAAAAGTCCCCTAGAGGGTGCATTGTGAAGCCAGGGTTGAGATCCACTTTCATCTCTGCAGGTGGGATTACACCAGGGTGATCTGGCAGGCTAATGGCAACGATTGAGCAGATCAGCCTACTGTACCCAGGCACCAGGGGTCCTGCTCATGAAGGAAATTCTCTGGACCCTGGAAATCCAGGCCTAGGATTCTGTCAGCACAGAAAGGAACTCTCAGATGTCACACGTGGCTATAAATTCAGTGTCTGAATTATCCTTATTCTTCCATATTCCGGCTCTTTGGTAAGTCTGTGTCCATCTCTTGGGAAGTCTGCTTAGCTGCCCTTTTCCAACCCTTCCTAATTTCTTCTCAGTCCTCAGCCCCATCTCCATCCTGTCATCCTCTGCAGATGAAACTGTCTCCCATTAAACTAGAAAGTCAAGGGTAGACTGCTCAGTTTCCATCGTCTCTGTCAAGTTCCCATGAAGTCAAGGAGTTAGGAACCAGGGAGTAAGGCAGTGAAGACAGAAGGCCCTGAGATGGGAGTGGGAGGAAGGGATGGACACAGCTGTGGAGTGCTGAAATCCTTTGGGCTTTCAGCTGGAGGACTTGGAAGGAGCCAGAGGGTGACGGGGAAGATGATGGCAATGATGTAGTCATCAGAGGTAGTTGGGAAGAAGGGCAGGCTCGGAGGGGAGGATGGTATGTTCTGGTATGTTCTGTTTAAGAGCTGCAGAGTGTGCAGGGCTTTTCCTCCTCCCTCCTACCCTGGGGTGCTGGTCTGCACAGAGCTTTACACACTGTGATGTCTGTGTTGAAAGGGTGGTTGATACACCAAGCCCTGTCACTGGGATGGTATGCCTCTGCTCTTTCTGTCAATTCTCCAACTTCCTAATTCATAATTAGACCAGTTATTTCTCAAAATGTAAATACCAAGCCCCCCCCCCAAAGGCCTTTGGAAGCCAACAGCTAACGTGAATAATGGCTAAGGTTAAAACTGGATGAATAGGCCAGAAACAGGAAACACTGGGCAAGTATTCATTCATTGTCTTTTCACGTGTATATTACTCAGGATGGTAAGTTACTTGTGTAAAATAATGTTTCATTATGTTGCAGTCATTACTACTAGCCCGTGGAAGAATGTGAATTATAAATATACGTTTTTTAGGGGGACTGGGGTTTGAACTTGGCCTCCTTGCACTTGCTACACAGGTGCTATATCACATAAGCCATGTTCTGAGCCCTTTTCACTTCAGTTTATCTTTCAGATAGGGTCTCCTACTTTTTGCCAGGGTGGGCCTGGGATCATTAGCCTCCCATTTCTGCCTCATAGGTAGTTGGGATTACAGGCAGACACCACCACACCTGGCCATAAATAAGCATTTTTCTTAAGTTCAGCCTTCATCCATGAATTCTCATGACTGTTTTTAGAAGGACTGTTTAGATTATAAACGCTTTATAATCTGAGGTCTATGGCTCTAAGAAGCCTTCCACTGAGGAAAAACCATGCCTGCCCAGGATGCATAAAGCTCTGTGCTGCACTGTGGATGCTTGATTCATTTTCCCATAACACCACCCATCTTCCCCTCTAAAGACATGCTACCTTTCAGTGAATCTCACATTTTCACTTCATCACTTAAATTAGGCACATTAAGTTTTATCTTGCTTTGGGGCACCATTTGCTTTCTGAGCAGCATACTGTATTTTCACAAAATTAAGGACAGGGAAATACTCAGCAGCTCACATGATGCTTAAACACAACTGATGGCGACACAGGACAGACTGAGAGCTTCTCTGTATGGCTGAGCCATGTAACTCATGCATGGGAATTTAGCATTTTTGTTCTTAAATTTCTTTTGATTTTTATTTATTTTTTTTTGACTCTGTACTTGGTAAAAATCATGTGTAATAAATCTGCTTACTGTATCTACTGTAACTTTGTAGAAGATTATTCTGCACACTGCGGAGAGAGAGAGGTCCCAGGTCAACCAGTTAACCAATCAGGGCACACTTTTATTACCCCAAGTTGACTTCCTCAGGTCGACTGGCAGGGGACCATTCAGATGCCTTTAAAAATTCTTGCAACACTTCTACATGTTAGATTTTCTACCATGTAGAGACAAACTAAAGATGGGATCAGTTTTCTTGGATGACATATGAAAAGAATTGGGTCTATGAGCAGGGTGAAGTTCACTTTCATACTCAAACACGCTCTGGATCAACCCACTTACCAGCTATGCTGAGGAGCAGAAGGAGCAGGAGTGAGGTCAGGCCGAGGTGCGGGGTCCCTGCAGCATTGCAGTCCACTTTGGAGTTCTTACAGGAGCACACCTGTACCCTGAGGTCTGTGACGTTCGTCATGGGGGGTTTCCCTGAATCTGTCACCATGATGGGCAAGTTGTAGTTTGCTTTGTTCAGATTTTGAAGAAGGCTCACCAGGGCATGTGTATCTGGAAGACAAAAGAGGTCCTCGTGAGAGAGAAGACTTCTCCCAGTGAAAGACTAAGGTTTTTTTTGGCCACAATCGCACACTGCAGGTTCTGCATTTTAATTTATGGTTGCAGGCATGTCTGAGCTTAAATTCATGACCACTGAGCAAAAACACAACTTCAGTTCCTCCATGGCAGTAGTACATTTCAATGTCCCATAGCCACACTTGGCTGGTGGCTTCTTAAGGGACAGTGCTAAGATGAGAATGTCCCTTGTGGCAGGTTCCATGGTTTTGGGCTGTTGTGACCAGTTTCAAGGAGACTCAACTGTTGTGAAAATGATTAAGCACCAAGTCCTCCTACCCACCCATCTAATCCACCTATCAAAACATCTTGACAAAGATGGGCTTTTCTTTGAGATGGGTCTTGCTGTGTAGTCCAGGTGGCCTCAAACTTGTGATCCTCCTCAGCCTCCAGAGTGTTGGGATCATAGGTGTGTATCCCCATGCCCGGCAGGACTGTCATTAACATGTAGAAAGCGGATGTGAAAGTCCACATGCTCTACACCTGTGCAGGACTCCAGGTGTCACTGGGATGGCACCACAGTCTGTGTTTTTGTCAGTCCTTAGCCAATAGCCATAGATTTGGGTGAGAACCCTCAACATGGTGACTGGATCTTCAAGCTTCCCCTCCTCTCCCTAATCCCATGTGTGGTGGGTGCTCTGCCATCACCCAGGCCAGTGGGCGGCACTTAGAAGTGGCCACCCCCCTGGCCTGTCTCTCATCTCTTCTCCTTTCAACCATTCAGATTGTGAAGGATTTTGTTTTTCAATGGCTCCTTTCTGGTGCTAAACATTCAGAACAAAATTTGGGTCAACAGAGTTTAGAAGGCATTCATCTATAAAATACAATCAGGAGGGAATACAAGAGTTTGATGGCATGACAAACCCTCAGGCAGTGTGGCCCTCACCAGGAGGTGACCAATGTGACCACTGCCCTGAAGGCAGACTGACTGACTCAAGGACCTTTTTCCTGTCTCCCTCATGTCAAGGATAGGCTCCTTGATGAGGAAGTTCCAGCTGGAAAGAACTGGTGATGATTGTTCACATTGTCCACAGCTGTGGAAATCAGCAAATAAATCCCAGACCCCTCCAACAAGGGAAGGGCTGTTTTAATTAAAAATAATCAGTGTAACAGAATTCATTCTTTAAAAAGCAATAAAGGAGACAAACAGGCAAACAGAATCAGTAACAAGAGAGAGGCACTAATAAAATAAGATCTGAGATAGGGCTGTAGCAATAGATACAGGAATTTTTAATAGAAAATTCTATGCACAGTTGTGCACTTCACTTTCAAAAGACAATGAAATGAGCGATCCCGTGGCCCCCTCGAAAATTCTACCACGGTGGGGTCAGCAGCAGGGTAAGTTTGTTACTGAAGACAGAGTGCATGTCTAAGGGGCTAATAATTGCGAGCTGTTTCCTTTCTGGAAGACAAGGTGCACCTGATTTACACTGAGGAGGAAAGTGGGGAGGCACTGTGAATAGAGAGGAACTTCAGGATTAGCACAGCAGGTGATAAATGATGGGTCAACTTTGACTTCCACCTGTCCATGTGGAAAGATGGGAGGACGACACATTGCTTGCAAGTTTCCTAAATGATAGAGAGAAAGAGGACACATGGGAAGAATATATATCAAAGTCAATAAAAACCAATGCTGTCATCAAAGAGAGTCAAGTATAAGGTGGTCTGCAGCATAAAGTGGAAAATTAGAGGCTGAAGAGTTTGTCAAGCTTCTTGTGACACTGTGCTCCCTTCAGTCTTTTACGAGCACACGGAAGTTCTCTCCAAAGGGCTGGTGGGAGCTACTGTAGATCCCTGTCTCTGAGACAGGAGACAGTTGAGGCAATAGCGGCATGGCAGGTCAGGGAGAGGCAGTGAGCCCTGCCTTTTGAAGGCCAAAGACTGGCCAATATTCTGTGCAAGACAATTGCAAAAAGAGAAGCTTAATTATAACAAAAAGGGGAGCAGAAGAAGAAAGAACCACCATCTTGCTCTTGGATACTATGGCCTGGCAAAAATGCAGACCTCAGCCCCGTCAAAAGAATGTGGAGGTTGCAGTATACAGAGTGGAGAGTGTGTTGCAGAGTGTACAGCAGAAGGTGTACACTAGAGAGATGATGGTGGAGGACGCAGAAGAGAGAGCATACTCGAAGCTGGGCATGGTGGTACATGCCTGTAATCCCAGCACTCAGAAGGTGAAAGCAGGAGGATCATGAGTTCCAGGCCAGGGTGGGGCTACAGAGTGAGACTCTCTGTGCCACATGACCAAAAAAGAAAAGAAGAAGAAGAAGAAAAGAAACTGAAATTCAGTATTTTTACAAATTGTACGCATTTGCCAAAAGGAAAACTCTCATTATCTTGCAATGCATAAGTAACAGAAACCATGAGAGAACACGGGTCAGAGGAGAGAAGGCGGAAGAAGGAGGGCAAGTGTTTAAGGCAGACGTACTGTTGATCTTGGAGATCTTCCAAACCTTATCGGGAACAGTCGGCTTATGAATCTCGAACTTGAAAGGGTCTGTGTTTGGGTGAAGATCCATGTCCGATGCCCCCAAAATGACCACGCTGAGGTTTTTGGCATCATCACAGACTTCGGCCACTGTGGGGTAGATGAAGGGAGCGTTGTCATTCACATCTTCCAAGGTGATCAGTAAAGTCCCCGTGCCGGTTGCAGGAGGGTTGCCTGTGGGGAAAGGGAAGCCATCAGTGTGTCATGGGAGAGCCATTTACCATGGTACCTTCTGCTGGGCACACTTAGTGCATTTTGTATTCCTTATTATTACCAGTTTCAAGTGGGACCAACAGTGACAGATTGCATTTTTGTACAAGGTTACATTGTTTACAGAGGGTCTCACTAGGTGGCCCAGGCTGGCCTCCAACTCCTGATCTTCCTGCCTCAGCCTCCCAAGTACTGGGATTACAGGTGTTCACCACTACTCCTAGTTCTTAACTTTAATGTAGGGAAGTTAGAGCCAAATTTGTAGGTCACAAATTTTAACGGTACATATTTGTTTTATTCTAATATGGATTTGATGCACCCCTAAAATTATAGTCTATCCCGATGGTCTCCGACTGGTGGTTGGACTTAATGATTTTTTAGCTGAACTGAGGCATGACATGCACCCATACATCCATCTGTCTTTCACCTTCAGTGCTGTACGCAATAAATCCTGGGGGATAGTCAACCCTTCGTTATAAAACAGGTGTTGTGTGAGAGGACTGGCCAGCTACAGGCTAAGTTAGTGCTCTGCGCATGGTTGAGGCTAAGCCATGATTGTAGTAGATTAGGTATAGTAAATGCATTTTTGGCTTATGATATTTTCAAGTTTTGATGGGCTTAATGGGACATCACCCCACCATAACTCGAGGAGCCTCTGTCATTGAATACACGGTACTATATGGCACTCACCAAATGTATGCCTCAACTTAATTTATTTGACTTGACTAGATCTCCAAGTTTATTAATTATTTATTTTTTGGTAGGGCTGGGGGTTTGCAAGAGCAAAGCAGGTGCTCTACCGCTTGAACCACACCTCCAGTCCATTTTGCTGTGGTTATTTTGGAAATGGGGTCCTGAGAACTACTTGATGGGCTGGCCTCATATTATGATCCTCTTGATCTCAGCCTCCCAAGGAACTAGCATTACAGGTGTGAGCCCCTGGCGCCCAGCCCAAGTTACTTTTATTTCATATCATACTGATTTTTTGAATCTGCATTTGTGTTCAAAGTTATCGACTTGAATGGGGGTTGTAGTAGGGTGGCTAGTATGTGACAGACGTCAGAGTGTTGTTGTCAAGTGTAGGCAAATCCTAGTTAAGCACCCATGTGCACATTTAGATTCAGTTCCCTACTCTCGTGACAGTGAAAGGATGAGTGGACCTTGTGGCCTCTGTCCAGCAGCAGTGGCAGTGACAGGACGTCTCTTTGGAGCCAATTTCATGTCATGGCCTGCAGTTGGGCCCTGAGAGAGGGGGCAAGAAACCCCATACTCACAGAACGGGGAAGGGGACAAGTAACTGTATTGGGCTGGGCACTGATGGCTCACGCCTATAATCCTAGCTACTCAGGAGGCAGAGATCTGGAAGAGTTCAAAGCCAGCCCAGGCAAATAGTTCAAGAGACCCTATATCAAAAAACCTTATCACAAAAAAATTGGGCGGGTGGAGTGGCTCAAGGTGAAGGCTCTGAGTTCAAATCCCTGTACTGAAAAAAACAAAAACAAAAACAAAACTGTCTTGGAGGATCACAGGCACCCTGCCAAGACTCAGATCAGCTGAGGGCCACCCTCCCCATGTGACTCTCCATGCAAAGCCCTTGGATGCATGGTGGAACTGCTCCTCCAAGCAGGGTACAGGGTGGTGAGGATGGAAAGGCCAGGTGGGGCACGGGAAGCCTTGGCTATCACGACAAGGAGACTGTGCTGATTCTGTGGGCTACACAGAGCCACCATGGTTTGTAAGGAAGGTCGTGGAACAATCTCACTTGACTCCTTTTTGGAAAACACACAGCTATATTGATAGATGCTAGGTGTTTTTGGTGGGGAGACCATGGTGGAGTAAGTGGAGCACAGCATGGGTAGCTTGAGCAGGGGATGCCTTGCTTTGGGCTCCTCAATGCACCATGTAGAAGTATGTCGCTTAGGAGAAATGTGGAGCCGAGTTAAAGGCTGGGAGTCACCAAGTAGAGATGCTTTTGAAACCTTTCTGGCAAATCGGGTCACCCTAGGTAAGAGTCCAGACTGCTAGAGGAGTGAGCCCTGAGAAACCCCAAAGCTTACAGGGCACATGGTGGTTTTGAGAAAACACAGGGGACATGAGTTACAAGAGGAGAAAATGGCCAATAGATAAACGTGTGTGAACACAAGAGAAGGGGGAACAAGGCAGGCAACAGGATTTTGAAGGAGAATGTACCTGTTATGCCCTTGTGGGGGAGGTTTCTATTAGTGGGGGAGACACCGCCTTGGAAGGAGCTGAGCAGTGAGGTGAGCCATGTGTCAACACCCCAAGACCGTTTCAGAGTAAACATTCAAATAAATACCGGCTAAAACAGCAACGCAAATCTAATTAATCATCAGATGGGTGGCTGTTCCTGACAGTGACATATCATCAGCTTTCACGGGAGCAAGAACGCTAAGGAAAATGCATAATTACTTTGAAGTTGGTTTTTCACTGTCAGCTTTAGTCATTTGGCTAAATTTCCTTATTGAAAAATTATTTTTCTCTTTTTATTGAACTAATTGAATATCTCAGAAGAACCCATTATACTTTTTTCACTCTGGATATATTATGAAGGAAAGTCATTTGGTGGGATGGATGCGAGGCATTACGGGGATTTGAAATACGGCCAGAAGAATCGGCCTTTCGTGAACTTAATTAGACTACTGTCTTCAATTTCCCACGTGCTATTCCCAGGCCAGCTGCTGGTGTCTTTTTCTGACCCTGGTAGGACGAGCTCATTTCTTTGGGGGATGAGGGGAAGATTGAATGAGGCAAAGTCCTCTGAGAAAGAGCCTCTTCCAATTTCTATGCCTCCATTGGACTTAGAATTATATTCAAATTCAGACGCAACCCAAAATGCAATGATTGCACAAGTCCACCTGGCTCCAAGAGTATCTGGGGTGCAGGAAATCCTGGGGCTTCTAGGTGTTCTCTAGTTAATTGGCAAACGTCCCTCAGCCCTTCTCTTCACGTTTCCATCAGCAGCTCCAGTCCACTGGACAAGTAAGGACAAGTGTCAGAGGCAGAGCTTGGTGAGGAGTGTGCCCTCCTTCATGGGTTTTCCATCTTCACAGGGAAAAGGCTCCAAGTGAGCAAACCACCCAGGGTCCATGCACCGCAAGCCAGCGCTTCCTTTTCTGTGTTGCATCCCTGGGGGAGCCCACCGCCATGTTCTCAGGGAAGCCATTTTGAGGATCAGGGGAAACCAGGTCTGAATTTGGGGGTGGGCTCCCACTGTGTTTGGAGGGGCTTCTGTCTTTATAAGGTCAATTGTTGGAAGGGCCCCTGCGCGATGAACTACTTACTACAGTGCTTGGTAGAAGTGCGGGCAGGATCTTTCTGGTCAGAGGTCTTTGATGCTGGGAGTTTCTGCCAACCTGTCTTTGCTGGTTTCTGTGCTGGGGCTGTAGATCGGAGGTAGAGCACTTGCCTTGTGGGTGCAAGGCCCTGGGTTCCATCTCTAGCACCACAAGACAACGATGACAATGACAACAGCTGGAGTTTGTTTTCAGCAGACTGGCATTTGGTTTCTGGGATGTATAATGTTCTCACAATTATTTCTTTGAATGGGACGAGTCTGTCCTCTAGAGATGACCATGGGTCCTTCCCAGGCTGTGGCCTGGCCCTGGGATTCTGGAGACATCTGGGGACACCCCCATCACATGCTCCCATTTACCCAAGTTTAGTTTTCCTTCATTTTCCCATTCCTGACTCCTGGCCCTCCTCCCTCTTGCCAATGCCTTGTAGCTGTGTACTACTTCTTATCATCAAGGCTATTTGTGTACACGGATACTTCCAGAGGCCTCTCTTTTAAGGTTCTGAAATAAGCATAAAAGCTACAAGTGGATACTGTGATGGAAAATATCAGGGTGGGATGAGAGGAGAAGGGGAGAGCCAGCCAGGAGCCAATGTCAGCTGCTCTGCTTCTGACTTCTTAGAAAGACCTGCTTTTGGTTATAGGGTTGGTGTCGGTGATTCTGTTTTGTGATACTGTGGCTGGGATGCAAAGAGATATTTTGAATGTCCCTTAATGTGACCACATCAAAGTCCATTTCCAAGTGAGAACATGAAGACTCCAAGGTGAGGCTCTCTGGAAACAAGGCCTATTTAAAATTCCTTGGCAAGAATGACAGTTTTCCTTCTAACTCATTTTCAGTGAGGGCCTGTTACTCTCTCTCTGCCTCTCTTTCTTTTTTTTTTTTCCCTTGGTACTGGGGTTTGAACTGAGGGCCTTCACCTTGAGCCACTCCACCAGCTCTCTTTTGTGATAGGTTTTCTCGAGATAGGGTCTTGCAAACTATTTTCCCAGGCTGGCTTCAAACCTCGATCTTCCTGATCTCTGTCTCATCAGTAGCTAGGATTATAGGCGGGAGCCACTAGCACCTGGCTGGGCCTGTTACTCTTGTCTGAAGAGACCTCACCTTCTCATCCTGGTGGGCTATTTATTTTGGGTCGGACAGTGGCAAGGCATTGGGGGAGGGCCACCATTTTCTTTGGCAAGGATCTGAATCACTGGACTGTTCCAGATGGGGCATGGGATGTGGGGGTGCTTTTGCTTCAGGGTCTTGGCACCCCGCCGGGGTCCTCCTGGCTGCTGATCTCTGTTTGCTGGCTTCTAGCTTTGTTGCTTCTGAGCAGCACTCAGCTCTGAGAGTGTGTGCCCTCAGCACATTGCATGACAAGGACCAGATGGATCCTACTGTTGGATTCCAGCACAGATAGTTCAACTGGATTTCTTCAAGAGCTAACTTCCCATGGGCTGGCTGGCCGGCCACCTGGCTCAGCACTGGGCCTGGCCTGTCTTCATTGTGACCAGCCTGGCCCAACTCTTGGTCTGCTTCGTTGATGATATAGCACTTAGGCTCGTGGGCTCTTGGTTTAAAGAAGCAGGATGGCATACTTAAGGAAAGGTGAGGACTTAGGTAGAGAAACTGAACACTTGCAGGAAGTTTGACCAGGAGAGGTCA